GCTTTCATTGACTCCCCCAATGTAGAGAAGCTATTGCTCTACTCCAAGCTTCCCCCAGAGCTCCAGAATAAAACACTATTATACTAGAGATATTCCTCCACTTGAGGTAGGAACTGAAACCTTTGGGGAACATTAGTAAGTTTAGGAACCATGGCCTCAGGCATCACTTTAATTTTTAAACTCCAAGTTTGATAAATCTGAACAGACCAGAAAGAAACGGAGAGCCATCATGATACGAGCCGTTTTAGTCTACGAACGCAAAAGAACCAAGCATCTATGCTTATTTTGTTATGTCCATGTATCATTCTTCTGATTAAGAGAATGGACATTTTGTGCTATGAATGTTTTCAGCTGTTCAAAGCCTAAAAACAAATGTAAATGAGGTTAAAAGATAAAACCTCCCATCCATTGTTCCTCCAAAAAAATCCTTCAGCGAGGCAAGGCTCAGTCGGTCCCTTCTGTTTTCCCCCCACGTGAGCTTATCATGTCTTCCCTGCTCTATCTTTTGCACGCAAAGCTGCCCCATAATAAGGCAAAATTATGTGGACATCACGCAGGCTGTCGGCGAGTTAAACCAAACAGTTGAGAGAATCTGAATCGTCAAAGCCTTTTTTTTTATATAGCTTACCTTTTTAATTACTCCCTTTGAGAGCACACTTCTCCTTCATCCTCTGCTGACTAGCTTTTGAAAAAAGTTGCGCGTCTGTGCAAAGTAAAGAGTGAATAAATGGCACCTGGGTTGAAACCGTGCATCAATAAATCATCAGAGGAAAAGTAGTTGCTTGAAAGGTTGCTTAACTCAGTCACTGACCTGCTCACTAATAGATGACAGGCAGAGCTGACGAATGCTGTAACATTCTTGCGAAACAACAAAAGGACAGAGTGATCTCTGGTTGAAAGTGGAAAGCTGTCTTGCAATTAGTCTGGCAGTACCAAAAGAAAACATGCTTTCAACAGGAAAAAAAAAAAAGTACTGAGTTTGAACAGTAATTAACAGAGGTGGTTTGTCCTAGAATATGTTAGCTGTATTACATGACAATGTTTTCATACGGCATTTAATAAGCAATCAAAAATCCAAATTTAAAACAACACAATTAGACCTGGTAACCTGAAATCAATTTGGAAAATAATAAAGGCTAGATTAGACCAAATTTGAAAACGAGTTTTTATTTTTTCCATGGGGGAACAGCTGTCTAAAACAGGGAGACTATTAAGAACAGAATTCAGCTCATGAACAAAATGTACAAATACCTGATCTCAAAGGATAGATATGTTTTTGATCAAATGTACGTATTTAGCTTTGCTTTAAACTTCAAAAGTGAAAGGTTTGTGGTAATTGAAGGCCAATGTCCAGTTGTGCTTGAGCGACTGTCTAAGAATTCAAAATAGCAGAAAATAATTCCAGATCTGGAGATCAGAGCTGAAAAGTAGAAAATAACTACACTTTATATATAGAAACATTTTGCCATTTTTAATTTTCTCTTGGTTCTGAGTCATGAGAGGCTTTGAGTTTGATTTGTGTTTGTCTGCTATTTTATTCAGCAAGTGGTTTGATTCTCTTGTTTCTGTATCCTTGTAGCATTCTGATTGTTTATCCTGTTGCTTCTTGTGCTTGAATCCCTCTCAGTGCAGCTAATCAGTGGTCATCTTTGGTGGTTTTCATTATTCCCTGTCAGATTGTTGTTATTGTTAGGACGCCTTCACACATTTGGAGGTGTGCACACCTCCAAATTGCACATGGAGAATTTCAAGCTGTAGTTCAAATGCAAAGTAGAATTAGAACACAGTCTAGGATAAGTCCTGTCCTTGAATTGTAATCATTGATTGATAATTAACAAGGTCAGCAAAGAGAAAAAAGAAATAGAAAATGGAAGCAAAAGCCTGAGAACCAATCAGAGACTTTAACACAATCTTTTTAAGTGGTTTCAGGAAACTACTCCAGGTTTGACATCCTCAGTACAATCGGCTCACAACAACTACATAAAAGCGCATTTAATTTTTTGTGCACGATTATTTTTCACTCCTCTTGCCAAGACATAAGCGTTCACTGTTTCCCAGATTAAAATTAATAGAATGATTCAGCAAAGCATAGCACTCTGTGACAAAAGCATCGATTGTGTCTCCTTTTGTTTTGCTTTCAGTTCTGAAATACTGAAAGTTTTTCTATGCTAGAAGTTTTATTTTGCATCTCACCTGCCTGCTCCAGTCTGAATTTAGGTCAAATTCCTTCTCAATCTGACAATTTCATAGATAATTGTTTGGCATTGTCAGAATCTCAGCATAGACAATGACCAAAATTCATGTCAGTGAAAGATTTTGCAGCATCCCAACAAAGCTCCTTATAGATTTTCATGAAGCTCAGCATAAATGTTGCAGATCTTTTTAAGGTGACTGCAATTAAACGATGTTAATGAGCTGCTTTTCAGTCTCAACGTGAGATTTTTTTTGTTTTTCATATGAAAACAGATGGAAAAAATATGCAGCAGCTTTTCTTGGGAATCCAGACATTTTAAGAAAAAAAAAAAAGCACAGACAACAGCGAAGAGACAAACAGATATGAAGCGGATGAGACCAGATTGCCTAAACGTGCAAATAGATACATGATGCCAATTACTAACATTCAACTTGTTTTAGGAGAGTTTATTTCATGACAAACCAAAACATGAGTGTGAGCTACAATGTATATGTATTGGATGCGTCTAATATTGTTTTTTTCTGTTTTATACTGAATATTGTAGTTTTCAGTGCATTTTAGTTTGTCTCTCCAAGAATGGAAAACTAATCCTGTGTCTTATGTTGACTGTTTACCAAGATCATCTGCAGATGCAACAATGTTCTTTGTATAATGCAGTATTTGTGTCCCTGCAGCACGTTGCTGTTGTTCAATGTTCTCCTGGTGGTGGATTCATAAACATTAACCTTTACTCTGTATGTTAATGGAATCCAAACTCTTTAGAAGAGAAAGTCTAACCTTTTCCAGCCTTGTGAAATCTTTGCACGAACTTAGAAATCTCATTTACTCCTGCTCTGATACCTATCCTCATCCTTTTAAACAATATTTAACTTCCTGCTTCTAAACACTCCTGATTGTCACCATATCAGTTTAAAAAAGGTGTTTTAACATCAATAGAAACTGAAACTGCCACTTAGTGGAGCCTAAGAAAACACTCTTTGTTTCTACGACAACAACAAAACTACCAGTTATTGTGAATTTTCTCTTATTTTTTTAACTAGGATATCTTTGTATCTATTGTTTTCAGTCTAAATTATGTAGAAATCTTGAAAAATGTAAAACACACTGTCAAGGACAAAATTGAATCTTTTGTGAAAAAATAACCTATAAAATTATGACTTTTCATCAAGTCCTCTAACGAGATTTCCTCAGCGTAGTAAATATTTGTGTATTGAGTAATACAGTGTCAACAGAGTTCAGTTGCATTATTCTCAAGCAATCTTGGTTGAGTGTGTTTAAGAATCATCACAGGATTACTGGTAAGGGGAAAAAAAAATCTTCATTATGACAAAGGTTTGAATAAAATTATAATTTTATTCAAAGTCAGTTTTTGCACCTGATCTTTACAGCATATAGTGTTAATGCTATATTATTACAGTTGGTGCTTCAAATTGGCTCATATTTGCATTTTCTTTAGATACAAGGTAAATAAACTTGGTATTTGAGATGATGCATTCAAACTGAAAGAATCACTGAAGAAAATATACAGCATTTCATGCTTGAACATCTCTTTAAAGTAAGAGAGTAGGTTACAGTGGCATCTTATATCAAGCAGACTGAAGGCAGAAAACAGTAAATTTCCAAGCTTTGATTGTTAAAAGATATTTTTCATGGATTAAAAACACTAAATGTAATCACAGTGGGTCAAGGAACTTGCACTCGATTCTTGATTTCTACCACCTTGTGGTCTAAACTCACTGGCGACTTTGTTAGGTACACCTGTTCAGTTGATTTAAACAGGAACTGCATTTTAATGTACAAATTATATGTTGCAACTCAGTGTCTGTAAAACTAATTTGAGGCAGAAAATGAAAGCAGTTCAGTTCCTACGTCCAAATGCTGCAGTTCTTATGATAGTTCACCCAGATAGCTGCTAGGTGAAGCAAAACATCTCGGACTAAACTCTAAAAAGATTCAAAAAGTCAAAAAATCAGTTTTGTAACTGATTTTAAAACTCTGGACAACAAACATATACAAACATAGCTGAGAAATTGTTTTGTCACCTTGCCATTGTACGTCTATGCATCTTGACAGGGCATAGCTGTCAAAATGCTCACTATGTAAGTTAGCTCATGTGACATTTCGCTATCAAGGAGCCTGTACAGTGTTTTCCCTAACCAAGGAGGGCGCCTGCCAACAGGACTGCCTGCACTTCAAACTTCATATTTTTAATCCAGAAGGTTTCTATTTTTTTTTTTTTACTTTGACTATTGATCCAGCATTCAGATTGGTGAGTTGAGGCACGTGAAGAAAAATGCATATTCTATAGAATGCGACGACTCTGATGATGATAGAAATACTTTTTTTTGTCCCTTTATAGTTGCATGATGTAGATGGCTGCTAGTTTACTTGCAGTAAGACGTTCTGATTGTATCTGCATGAATTTTGTGTACTTTGTTGTGGTAAAATTACCACAACAAACTGCAGGAAGTTTAATAAAATGTTACTCCACAAAGTATCTAAAATAAGCAAAATTTTGTAAGCAGGAAACAAACCGCATTCAAGTGAGAAACGACCAAACAACCTTCTTTGAGGTTTATTTTAGCATACAAGGCGATTCATTCCACGACCGACCTCCAGCTGTGGTAATTGTTGTTTTTGTGGCAAAACAAAATATATACTGCAAGTGCTCTGATATAACTTTGTATAGGCAGCGTTTCAATAAATCATTCACCTTTTTTGCAACAGTTTGCTATGGAAAACACAAAACACGGAAATAAACCTTTAAAGCTCATTTTGTCAGCAGAAAAGAAGATATTACACCTGCCTTGACAAGATCCTCCAGCTCCGTTGAATTTATGCAGCTGTGCTTGGCCAAGAACTTCAGTTTCTCCTCCAGAATGGCCGATTTCAGCTGGCTTTCGTAAGGCTGCTCCAGAGCCTGGAACACCGTCGCCCCGATGATGAGGTACAGCACCACCAGGAAGAAAATGGCCGACACAGTTTTCCACCTCATGACTGTGGTCCGGGTGTCGCACTCATCATCGGGAGTGTTCAGCACCACTGGTTTTGCGGAGAACGACAGGCGAGGCTTGGAATTGTGGACGGCAGCCTTTGGGTCAAGGAGGTCAGGTGCGGCCACTGGAAGGATGGAGATGATCGTTATCTGAGGTGTTCCACACTAAAAGAGCTAAAAAAATTGTACATGCTTCTGTTAAAAGAGCTTAGCTAACAAATGATGCGGTGTTTTTTTCTCTGTTACTTAATACATTTGACTTTGTACCAGAAGCTAATTAAATAATGTGCTGGATTATTGCCACTGCAGGGCAATTGCTTGAAATTTTAATATTTAAACTTCACCAGTAAGAAGATGACTGATTGTTTCACTGTTTTCATTTCATTGTACTTGTTTGATTTAGTCTCTCTTACTATTTTTATTCCTTCATTCCTTCAATAGATCTTGACAGAGAGCTAATGATTCAAGTAACTCCTGTTTTCTCTTAGCCAAGGACTTCACACCTCTTTAACAATATTTCCATTGTTTTTCTCCAACTTTCTCAGGGCAACAGAAAAAAAAAAAACTTTTTAAGGAGAAGTTTATGTGCAGCACAGCCAGCTAGTACAGCCATGCAAAAAACATGAGGCTCTGTAGACAGGCTGTATAAAATAGTAACTATGCTGCATTTTTCACTATAATTTCTTTCACCTTCTATCCACAAACATTTTTACCATGTTTCTTTAGAGGAAAAACATTTTTTTTCTGTTAAGAAAGTTTTTTCTTTTATGTGCAGAATCAAACTTATGCTGTTTTTTAATAAAAAAAAAATGCCTTTGCCTATCCATGGAGATATAATAGAGGGTAACGAAGAGAATATTTTTTTCAATTTAATTTTTGTCAGCTTTTAAGAATGCACATGGAGTGTGAGAAGCTGTTTGGCATCTACAAGCTTTTTCTTTAACCAACATGAACTGCACGAACTCTCAGCCTTGCACAGCCATACACTAATTATTTTATTACTAACTCACCAGTGCACCTAGGTGAAGTCATCAGTCCCCGTTAGTTGTTGATTATTATTCAAGCTTCTGTCTCAATGATCCAACTATTGGTTTTGAAATATTTTACAAATAAAAATCTCTAAATCTGGTTTGGTTGAAGCTTGGATGAAGTTTGTTTTTGAACACCAGTCTTTGAAAGAGGACATGAACTTTGACTGTGCTTCTCTAACACAGTTAAACCTTGCCCACTCCAGCTCCTTCTCCTACCAGCTTCTACAGTGTATTCTTCCAGGTTTGCCCTGCGTTTAGCTCCTTTCCAATTCTTCCTGATCAGCATCCCTGCACCTGGGATTGTACTGTGCTAAACAGTTCCAAGTCTCATTTGGCAAACTGGGGCTGCTTTTTGGTCATTTTAAAGCAGGTCAAACAAAGCTCCTGCATGGAGTTCCCCAAGGCTCCATATGGGAGAACGTTTATTCAGCATCGACCTGGTTCCTCTGGCTCACATCTTTGAAGTAGTACAACATTGTTTAACATATCTATCCTCCTGACATACAATATTAGATTTCTGTCCCCACTTGATCACCATTCACTACAGTTACTGTGTCCAAAACATAATCTCCAGCTCAATGCAGATGAGTCAGAAAGTGGTAAGTGGCAATTACTTCCTTGACTTATCCAGTGTATGTGCTGTATGTTTTTGCATTCTTTCACCAGAGCTGCACTGGTGCCATACTGTCGTTGGTTTTTAGGCAATTCTTGGAAGTTTTTAGTGGGCAGACTTTGTGAAACGTGAGATTTCTACACATAGCCGACTGTAACTCTTTACTGAGCAATTTATGAGGCGTCCATTTTTATGGTTGTACCGTTAGAATTACTGGATCTGCACCTCTTGTTCAGCTCCCAGTGATCTGTAGCAATCAGCAGCCTCACATCTACATGTTTTTTGTTTCCTTGTATAAAAATCAAACACACAGACTCTAATCTTTGTGGAATAAACTCACACTAGGCTATTATATTTTAATGCTGCACATACAGCACTTTCTCTGCATGACTACATTCTTTTTATTTTAAGTATTTCTGTGCTTGGAACATGAGCTACAGCAGAAAAAATAAATTTAAATCATCAAATATTTAACGACATTTGTCACAATGGTGTTTCTCAAACGTTTGCTACGCTTAGGTGATTACATAACACCCCCAAGAGGTCGTGCTGGCCATTTTTTTTTTAAAGGAAACTGCTTCTACAGAGTAGTACTCACTTCATATCCCTTAAGCTTTCGTAAGCATTCTTATTTTATAAGTTATATGACTAAGGTAAGCACTGTTGTCACAATTCAGATGGTTTTAAAAAAAAACATAGTTTTTATGGAACAATGTTTGACAATAAATCTGCTCAGAAAACAGAAATAAAAGACACAAAAAATGACATAAATTATCTGTTAACATTCATAATAATTGACGCAGACAATTTATAATCACCTTGATGTCAAGGTAGGCTACTTACTTCTCTACCATCTCGTCTGTGTCGGTTTCCTAGAAGGCGTTATTTTCCAGGAAAGCGCAGCACCGCTCTCTGTCTAAAGTCTGCCTTTGCCTCCCGTGTTCGCTCCAGAGGACGTGTCCGCTGTCCACATGGCTCCGGAGTGCTGACCTGCTCCCTGCTTCACAATCTCCGGAGAAAATGCATCCAGCGCATCACGTCTGTCGGCGCAAACGCGAGTTAAGACTGAGCGTAAAGGGAACTAGGAGGCGGGGGGAGAGGCTCGTATCCACGGTGCACATCCAGGTGTTTGGAGGAAGCGCGGTTTGTTGTTGGAGTGAGAGGAAACACTTTGTTAAGAGTAAGACAACGACGGATGCGCTGCAGTGCGCTGGGAAAGAAAGAGAGAGAGAGAAAGAGAAAGCGATCAGGAGAGAGAGAGAGAGAGAGACAGAGAGAGAGAGAGAGAGAGAGAGAGAGAGACCTCTGAGGTTTCTGGCGCTGTAACATCTTATGGAAAATTTCTAAAGCTCACCATTCAGAGCGCAACGAATGATCATGATTATTATCTTGAAAGTTTGCGGTGGTTTGCAAAAGTATTCATGCCCCTTAAGCTTTTTCCACATTTTGTCTGACTGAAAACTTCACTCTCTCGGTTGTTGTGATTTTATGCAAAATAAATAAACAATGAAAAGTAGAAGGAAATTATACACGGCTTCATTTTAATTGTATACTGAAGGAAAACAGATCGGAGAGTGGCTGCTTCTTAAAGAGACAGAGGTCATAGATGCCATGACTTAATGGTGACTCTATAGCACCATGTTTGTTCCAGCTGTTCAACATATATGTGCCTGAAAATGCATAATACCACCCCTTTAAACTCACCCACAGCATCGTGCTGTGGGCAAAGTTCATGATTCAACACTGAGGAATAGACTGGGGTCTGTCTCTAATTTGCCCAAAACCATTGTGACATTTCTTAAGAGTCTTCAAGATTTTCTTCTGTGGACTAATCTAACACATCTGAAACCTTTCAGAAGGTGCATCTGGAGTAAAACTAAAATAGCTAACATCACACTGCACACTGACAACGGCCACAATACAGACTGCAAAATGAAACAGCTGGCAATTTTGAATCATCATTTTACTCAAAAGCACCTTGTAAAGAGGACTGACATTTTCCTCCTGAGGTCTGCCCGCCCTTGTTGCTTTATTTTCCCGTCTCAAGGACAGTTTTCTGCTGTTTAAAGCAGAAAGCGCAGTGCCATGATGTCCTTGATGGACCAGTAATTTAAACGGGTGCTGCCCCCGTCACACAGAGAAGTTGAACCTGGAGGCGACAACCAGCTTATCAGTGGGAGGAAGCAGACCCCAGGGCACGGCACTACATGCTCCAAAGCACAGGTTTGGCGCATTAATTAAATCCATCCGAATTAGTGAGACAGTCTGGGCTGTTTATGATGTGACTTTTCACTTGGCGTGGCATGCAGGTGTGTTCTCTCTGAAAAAAAAAAAAACAGAGAACACACGGGGGCTGACAAGGATTTTAATTGGGTTAAAGTCTGTTCTGTCCTTGAAGATGTTCAGATAAGGCAGAGAAACAGTAGGATAGTGTGTGTGTTAGCGCTTAAGTGCCCACTGTATTGATCAATATTGACTGCTCATTTACATAATGTACTTGTGGTAATTGAATAGTAGGACTCCAGAGCTGAGCTCCTCTGCTTTAATAAGATAAATTTATTTATCAAACTAAATCTCCTGAGGTACAATGTTGTGACTTTCATGTTCACCCCTCCCCACCCCCTGTTTTAGGCAGATTATATCCCTTAAACTTTTTAAAGTTCATGCAAAATTATCTACATGTTTGTGTTCAATACGTGTGAACATTCTGTTCGTGATAAAGGAAGAATAAAGAACATTATTATTATGGAGGATTGTAATTCTAACAGCAAGTCTTCTGGCGTTCAGTATTTTTCTTTTAAATCTAACAATTTTTTAAGCTAACTTTTCTTGCAGTTGGATAGAAATGATTTATTGCAACACAACAAACATTCTCTTTGTTGAATTCAGGCGAGCTCAAGTAAACAGCCGTTTTTCACCCAATATGAACCGTAAGCTCAACCAAATAGTTTTAATAAAGTTTTCTGAGGGGAAGATTTGCTCCTGATGTTGTCGTATTTATTTCACACTGAAGGAGTTGGATGTCTCAGTAAATATCACCCAACTCTATTCCTCTGGCTGCTCACAGACAAGTCCAAGCCCCTTACAATTGAAATCCATCCTGCTCCAGTATTGATTTTTGCAGCCACCTCCTAATTTGTTTCCTCTTGTAGATTAAGTCTTCAGCTGTATAAAATGTCTTCTTTCTCACAGACATTTTGCTTGAAATTTTCTCTGGTCTCACCTCACCTCTTTCAATCCCAGTGTCGACGTCAGATGTGAAGTCACACAGAGAATGCGTAAATTCTCTCTCTCTTTTTCTTTTTCGCTTTCTGTGCAGTAGTGTTGATGGGCTTTAATAGAACGTATTAATTACACGGATAGCTCAGTGTTATAATCACTTCCGCAATTTACCCAAACTGATCAGTGGAGCCTTGCTTCCAGATTCCCAATTTTTGCTTTAATAAAAAAATAATTGAAGTAGTTTGAAGTTGATTTTTTTTTACAATAGTTACAAAAATTGAGAAAACTTATTTAGTCTCACTGAGGTCTATCCAGTAATGACTCAATTAAATAAAAAGGCAAATGTAAAGATAAACTGTTCTAATACTAATTCCAGAATATACACTATCCCTCAAAGACAAATGGGGAGAAAACAGTTGAAAAAAGTGAAGGATCTATACTTTATTAAAAATGTTCCAGTCTCTGTGGAGTTTAGGAAAATGTCAGGATCTCAATTTTTTTTTTTTTTTTTGCCTTTAATCTTACAGTTCCTTATTTGGGAACAACCCTGAGCATGTCTCATATTGAATGGTTGCCAGTTTGCCTGGAGGGCAGCGTTACTGATACCAGGAACATATGGTTCATGTTACACGAAGACAGTAACCCTGTTAAGGGGGACATCGCTGCATTAATGTGCCATACTACCAAGGTAATTTTGTAAAGGCAGAGCAACAAAAGAGGTTCTCATGAATAAATTACTAAAAAGCATTCTAATGAGTCCATAAGGATCTGTGGGAAAACATAGTTGTTTTTGTCATCTTTAAAATAAGTGGGATGATCTTAATGTGCTGATCTGATTCCAAACTGTTGTAGCTATTTATGTTTTTCACAAACATGTTGGCAAAATCTATGTGCATCTTGCTAACAGATAAAAAAAAAAAAAAAAAAAAAACCTCTGTACCTATTGTTCTCTGTACAAGTGCAAGGTTGTTTTTTTTTTTTTTTAAAAAAAGCACAATTGTCTTGCCAAAATCTGTCAGGAGTTGTGTTTTTCAGAAGGTTCAGGAAACAGATGAACCACAACATCAGCAAGCAAAACGTTTTTTAAGGTTTCATTTAATTACACACTTTTATGTCCACCACCTCATCTGCAAGCTTGCATTGTAAAGACTCCGGGGATTCGACGGTGGAGAAATGAGTTATGTCTCGACTCCCGGTCCTGCTGAATCCAACTGAACAGTTTCCATAGAGGCTGCACTTTGCTCATCCTGCAGAGAGTTATCAGCAAATCCACAGCGTCGCGTCCTCTGCGGCATGTTTTTACACACTGCCCTGCATGTTTTCAGTTGTTTCCCTCTTTCAGCAAACCTGATTTCAGTTGATGGTTGATTAACAAGCTTTTTGCTGGACTGCAAACAACTAAATCAGGCGTGTTAAATCAAGGAAACCTCAAAAACACACAAGGCAGTGTGTCTTGAGGGCCTGGATTGGGAATAGATGCTCTGCGCGGCAAAAAGTGTACAATTCTAGACGACCGGATTTAAAATGATTCATCTTCCACCACAAATTAAATGTATTGGCAAAATTCAAACAAAGTTCCAAAAGAGCAGTTTAGATTGCATCTAAATTTAACATGAAGTTACACTTTCATAAATGTCTGCTGTCTCAAAAATTGTTCAGATCCCCGGATAGTGCAAGAGCACACATCTATTTAGACTAGATCTTTACCTTCAGGTTGGCACTACACAGCGCTGTTTGCAAAAACCAGCCACTGAGACGGGATCTTTCTCCAGGCTGTCTCTGATGAATACTCAACAATTCTGAGTGCCCAGATCCATACTTTTTAAAAATATTTTTATCAGTTTCTGCATGTATATTTTTACAATTAACATATTTTGCAGTAAGGACTGATCAGTTTTAGGTGCAACTGTGTAGTCTCAGCAAGTAAATTCAGTGTACTGTAAACTCAGTGGAAGTGATGTAAGTCACTTATAAAAGAGTTTGAAGTAGAATTCACATTAAATATCTGTAAATTACACAAGCTGCATCATGCAAAAACTTTTCTCATCTGTCAGGCTTCAGTGGTCCCTGTTAGTTGTGCAATCTTTCCACAGTGGGTTTAGAAGACATTAAAATGCACAGTTGGCTCTCAAACAGATAGAGCTTCAATATCTCATGTTGATTTCCTCTTCAGTTTATTAAACTGCCATTTTCTTGTCTGGAAGCTAGTCACTTTTTTTTTTTTTTTTTTTTTGATAAGTTAAGCTATTTTGCTCCTATAGTGACTTTTTCAGTTCCTACGTGCCAGTGGACAGTAATGAAGCAAACTAAACACGTTATGTTTATGTGCTCAAACACAAGCTTCACGGTTTAAATAATTAGGCTTTACATGAACATATTATTCCCAGTTGTACTGGGTTTATAAAAGCCTGGGGAGACATTCTATAGCAGTTTGTTCTGCAAGCTGTGAGAAAATGGACATAAATCATGAAATAATCAATTACATTAACAATTACACAACGTCAGTGTATTTACCTGAAACGAGGTGACAAAATGGTTTAAATGATGACTTCTGAAAAAATGAGATTTTATTCTTCTTGTTTCCTTTGGTAGATTAAATGAGGCTCAAAGGTCTGTTGGCGAATATTTTAATTGTGCAAAGATACAAATTGAATAAAAATCTGTGATTAGATTTCAACATCACATCATTTTCAGCCTAGCAAAAAGAATGTTATTAAAGTGCAGGGATGCTCTTTGTGTCCTGTTCAGCACTGTTCCCTGCTCTCTCTGCTCGGAAGCACACACTGTTAATGGATGGAGGTGATGGGGAACCTGACTTTGGATGAGTGCAGGAAACCCAGAGGACTCTGCAAGACAAGTTCATTTGTATTCCCTATGGGTTCCTGCTGAGACATTTCCTGTATGTAACCCGGTTGTTGAGTTTATGTAAATAAAATAAAAGTATCCAGGTTCTGTATTTTATTTTTAATTTAATTCCTTCAAGAGTTTTTGT